ATTTTTATACTTTTAGTTGATTATGTTTTGTTATATGAAAACTATTTTGATATTAACTAAGATATATATAGATTTGATATGATATATATAATTTTGAAATAATTTTTTTAAGCCTTTAGCCAACTCTGCTCATAATTTTCCTAAACCAAATGGGAGATCAAAATGTAATGGATGCAGGAAAAGGAACTAGAAATTGAAGGAACTTGTGTGGTGTGTTATGCAAGGTACTGTACTGTGGCAACTGCGCATCAACCTATTGATGAAACAAAACGATCTTAACTGGGAAAACATTGGATATACAGTGACTCTTTTATGTTTTCACAGAGCATTGAAGTGGATGATTTTACTTAACTACATATACCATCATTTGGCTTTTGTTATTAGACTGAAAAATAAATCTTCAAATTTGTGGAGATTGTGGTTTTTAAAACTTCATACCGGAGAACATTTTGGTTTTTGGTTTGGTTTGCTTGGTTAGGGTACATGCCGAATTCACAAGAAAACTTATTTGGTCCGGTTGCATTTAATCCGAAACTAAAGTAAATAAATAAATTGGTAAAGTTTTTTTTATTAAAAATATACTCTACATAGTTAATCTTTTCATGATATAATTGGGGATCGGTTCTATTTTTGGTCCTTTTTTTCGTTTGACTTAAGTATTTTTTTTCTTTAAAATTTCGGATTCAATTGCATCTGGACAAAATTGCACAAAAAAGTTTCGGATTCAATAAGTACTGCAAGTGTTTTACTGCTAGAAAATGCTGCGTAGAGAGCTGTGATGTCAAGATTGTCAGAACAAGATAGGTCATGAAGACTTAATCCTGAAAGCTCGTCAGAAGATTGAAACTCGTAGCCCACTTGCTTTCGCGGTACATCAGATTAATTATAAGCTATTAGGTGACGACGAGAACACCAAGGCAGCAGCGAGGCGAAACAAATGATGCAACTGCATGAAATCATGTAGCTCGAAGAAATATTGTGAATGCTTCTCGCGTAAGTTTCATTCACACTTTTAAATTTTGAATTAATGTCATTCAGTCTTAACTAACCATTTGGATGCTTTATAATGAATTTTATTAGATGGCGTTGGATACACCTCGAGCTGTAAATGCATATAAATTGTAAGAACCGCCACTGAAACAATGCTCTTGGAACGAAGTGAATGATTTTACTGGGTGAAACGAAACGAAACTTCAAAATTATGTTTCACATTGAATTTTAGGATTACCAATGTAGTGGCTGATGATTTATGTGGATTTTATTTTATTAAGGTTGATTGAAAAAGGCTAATGGGAGTCTTGTTGAACATGATTTTGCTTGTTATCGAAGATTGATCTACATACTTTCCCAGAATAAGTACCTAGTAGATTCTTATTTAGATTAGGAGCAAAAAAAAAAATGTGATGGGGCAACTATATAGATTATATTAAATCAAAAGAAGAATAAAGGAAGTTATGATTATGTTCTATTCATGGAGGAGACGAGATGCACTATATATATTAAAAAAAAAAAAGAAGAAGATGTATTTTATGTTTCAAATTATATCAGATGTTCTAGCTTTATTCATGCTCTTTATAAAAGATGATACTATCAAGTGAGAATTCCTCTTCCTCAATCAGCACATTGTTATAAAAGATGATACTTTCAAGTGAGAATTCCTCTTCATCACTGGCGAAATGAAAACAACAGTTTCGACTTTCGAACACTTAATATTTGGGCCTTGTTGGGCTTGATAAAGCCCAAACTTGTTTATTTAGATTCTGCGCCATCTTCGTCTCTTACGCTTTGGTGGATCAACTCTGCTTCTTTCTTTCTTTCTTTGGTAACAAAACAAGCACCGATCGATTCAATTGAATGAGGCTTCCTTTATTATTTATTCCTCTTCTATATCTCTTCTTTCTCTAAACTCTTTGGTCAATTTCTTCTCGATTGTGGTAAGATCCGCGGATTTGGAGAGATCATCGTCGACAATTTGCTCTTTCTTCGATTTGGTAAGAGTTCTTCGAGCACACTCTAGATTCGATTTAAACCTATTTCTTTTGATTCTGCCCGGATCTCTTCTGTGTTTTGAGGTCTATAAATGTCAATTACACTTTTTCAACATTCTAAATTTTCTTGATTAGTGCAAGACCACAAGTGATGGAAAGACAGGGACTTTAGCTTATGTTTTCTCTCATCTCTTAATCACTATCTTCTTGTTTCAGACCGAGACATTATAATCTACTTGTTAGGAGATAAGAATGATGACTAATGTCTAGATGAGAATCTCTCTGATGCCAAATGTCACAGAATAACCATTGGCTAATGCTTTCTTTTACCATATGATTCTCTGATCTCTTTTTCATTTTATTTTGCAGCGACTACGCATTGAAATCCTTGAAAATGGAGCTGCAAGATGTAAAGAATGATGAGAGTGAGAAAGCTCCTGAGGCTTCGGTGGTTGAGAATGATGAAGTTGCCGGGAATAATGAGGAAGTGGTGGTTGAAGCTGAGGAAAAGGATGTGAATGAGGTTGTAGAAACCTTTGATGGAGAAAAAGGTAAGGCAGATGAAGAGTTTGTAGAAACTTTGGTGGATACCAATCAGGATTTGGCAGCCTTAAAAGCACCGGTGGTGGAAAATGATGCAGAAAATGTGACTGTTGAAGAACCCTCTCTTCTTGCTTCTGTTGAAGCAACTTCTTCTGGAATGACAAAGCCACAGGGTTTACCAGCGAAAACAAAAATTATTAAAAAGGTAAAGAAGATAGTAAAGAGGAAAATTAAGAGAGGCACCGCTGGTCAGGTGGCTGGTGAACAAAGTGAAGAGCCTTCTCTTGGCGAAAGCGAAAAGGAAGTAAAGAAGGCTATAGAGTCTGTTGCAGATTCCCCTCAATGTTCTTCTGGAAAAGACAAAGACTCAGAACCCTATCCTGGAGGAAATGATATGGAATTTCAGAAAGAATTAGAAGAATTAGCAGTAGCTCCTCAACCTGCAGATGATGTTAAAGTTGTTGGAGGCGAACCTTCTGGTAAGGAAACACTAAAAGAGGTAAAGGGAAGAGCTAAGAGGCAAAGGGGGAAAAAATTTAAAGGGACTCTTGCTCAGGGGATGGATAAAGAGAGTGCAACTGATAAGAGAGACGTCGGAGCTTCTCCAGGAGGAAACTTGATCGAAGCTAAGAAAGCTATTGACGGTTCTGTAGAAACCAAAACTGGCTTGGCTGAAGACAAGAAACGCAAAAGGAAGAGACAGAGAAAACAGGTTATAGATTCAAACAAGAAACCTAGGAAAGATGTAGTAGCTGCTGCTGATGCAACAGAACAAAGAATGGAAGAGAGGAAAGAGCAGCCTGTTGACCCTGAGAAAAGAGAAATGGATGGGCCTGGGAAAGTAAAGATTGGTGGACTGATCTTTATGTGCAATACAAAAACTAGACCTGATTGTTTTCGGTTCAGTGTAATGGGTGTACAAGAGAAAAGGAAGGATTTTGTCATGGGTATCAAGCCTGGGCTTAAGCTTTTTCTTTATGACTATGATCTCAAACTCCTCTATGGAATTTTTGAAGCATCCTCTGCGGGTGGGATGAAACTTGAGCGCAATGCTTTTGGTGGATCCTTTCCTGCTCAGGTAACATTGTGTTTGTTAGCCATTTCATTGACACCTGTTTTCAAATATGAAAACTTCATATATACAACTAGTCTCGAAAATGATACGAGTTTTTTTTCGTCGGAATTTATTTTAACTTATGAATCAACTTGATGATATTCTTTGGATTCAGGTACGCTTTAAGATTTTTAGTGATTGCATCCCATTGGCTGAGAGCCAATTCAAGAAAGCAATCAAGGAGAACTACAATAATAAAAACAAGTTCAAAACAGAGTTGACTCATAAGCAGGTAAACTTCATATTTTCATCATTTTCTCTAATTTATATATTAACACGACTTCATCACTCTGTTCTTCTCTTCTATTGTGGTGTTCTTAAAGGTATTTAAGCTTAAAAAGCTTTTTCGGCCAGCTACAATCCCTGCACAAGTTTCCCACACCCAGCAAATCCCTGTGCCTCGTCGTGCTGACAGCAAAAGATCTGATAGAGACCGGTATGCCCCTGGTAGCAGTAGGGGTCACCCGACCCGCACACATGAAAGAAGACGTGCTTCACCTCCTCCACGCAGAGAAGAACAACCGCATGATTTATATCTTAGTGAAAGAGAGTATCGAACATATGGCTTGAGAGGAGGGGAAACAACCCAGCATTACCAAATTGCACCTCCAGAATCTTCTTCTTCTTACCACATTGTCAACCGAGACCGTGTTCGTTTGGATTCTTACCGTTCATCTATGGACCATGACCGGCTATTGAGACAAGCAGAGATTGAGAGGCATGACCGTAGGGAAGTTCGTCATCCTCATTTGTCTGAAAGAGACTACCACACGTATGATCATCTTAGGTCTAGACGGGAAATCTTGGGTCGAAACTCACCCGACCCACCAGCTTCAGCAGTTGCTCTGGACTCCTACAGGAGATATCCGTATTACATTTATGAGCACCATGCTCTTGAAAGACCACCAAGGACATACATGGCTGCTCCAGGAAGAGAAGATGATGACCTGTATTCCCGGTATGTTACACCGGATTCATTGGCTGAGTACTACCGATCATCACAAAGATACCCAAGCGTAACTGAACCTGAGCTTCCGCCTTCGTTGGTAACATCCCGGTATGCGTATTCACGGTCTTTGCCTTATTCTCACCGCTGAAATCAGATTGTGTAATTCTCCTCTCCCTTTGAATTTATCTGATGTTTCATGTGATGTTGGATATGGATACTAAAGATTTGCAGCAAAAGGGTACGCTTTTGATTTGGTTATTACCTGATCGTTGTACCAATTGGTTTCGGCAAATAATACCTCTTTTCTCTAAATAGATAGTGCTAAAACCAAGAGTATAGATACTTCATAGTGTTGAGTTGATATAAAAAGAAAGTCCGATATAGGACTATAATCCTCAAATCGACATGCACGTTGTGGATTGCTTCAAGGAAAACTTGAAACTCCACTGAAAATTATTTCGAGCAATGAACTCTAATATCACTCCAGTTAAGATTCTGTGTTATCTGTCTATCGTAATACAAAATCCAGACATGTTCCTATCTCTTGAAATGCTCTTGCTTTTCTTTTGGAAAACATAAAAGGGTGAAATACATTCAAGGATCCCAAAAGTAGTAAAATCCATCATCACCAACTTGGATTCTTCACAACTCATCCTTAGTACCAACAGCATCATCACCTCCCATGAGTTCATCAAGTGAGAATTCATCTTCCTCAATCAGCTCTCCATCTTTACCATCCCATGCCTTTGTCTTCACGATCTCTGGTGTTCCATTCATTGGCACATTTCCTTTCCCACCGGTCCCAGCATCTTTGACAAATTCTCTGATGAAATAAAACAAACAATGATTACCTGTCGAAAACCACCTGAACCATTGTGATCTCTAGTTAAACCAAACTTACAAGAGGTGTTGAAGCTCAAAGGCGCTTTTAAGAGGAGCATATACTCCTTTCTTCACATTCATGGCTACCATTGCTGGATAACCGTATCCCCCCACATTAACTCGCTTCTCCAAATCCGGTTGAGTTACCGCCGCCACCCACATAAAACTGCAGACAATATTAAATTTTACATAAAATTCTCATTCTGCCTTGAGAGATGATAATATCACGAGATGTGCAGGAAAAATAACGAGGCTTTTCCAGAAGTTCTCAAAGCAAGTCTTAACACTTCTATAAGAACCCTAAACCTCTCTTTGTTGACTGTAACAATCTAATATCCTAACACTTCTGTAAGATTGTGTATTGATTCTTTATTGAGACTTCCAGATTAGGTAATATAGTTCTACAGAATTCCACACTTCGTTGATTTTAGGTTCCTAAGAACACTAAAATACTTGAAACTTCTTCTCCCCCTACTGCGACGACTCTGAAACCGTTAATACTAAATGAGAACAAGACAATGCTGCAGCACAGAGGTTATAATCTTTTTTAGTATACCTGTAAGGATGCTTCTTAAACTTCTCTGCAACTGATAATAACATCTCGAGGTACTTGTTCCTTCCTTCAGCTTTGGAGTCAAGAATGTCAGGTAAGAAAGAGATAAAGCAAATAGCAGCAGAACCACACTTCTTTTCCATGACATCCTATACAATCACAATGAAACAAGTGTCGATGTCTTGGATTCGAGCTTAGTAGTATTTAAGAAATAATGTTAAGAGACGAAACAAAGGATGTGAACAATACCGGCCCAGTTAGTTCGGTTACTTCAACAGGGCCAGCACTGGATTCCACAAGTTCAGACGCAAAAGATTCTATCGCTGACGCAGACCTGGCACCCTCATAAGGATATGGACTGCTTTTGTCTGGACCAAATACCAAAATCGTAGGGAATCCTTGCACTTTGAATCTGCTCATTATCGACTGCAATATATAAGATTCTTTGTCAGAACTTATCACAAACAAAATGAAAACAACAGTTTTTGATAAAAAAAAAAAGTAAAGACATTGGGGCAGCTGATCAGGATTCATGCTCCAAAGGCAAATGGGTAAAGACTACAAATATGGTAAATTTTCTAAGAAAACAGTACATATAATGATGAGACGGGAAAGAGTTCATAGAAATTATCTCTGATAACCAAATTAATAAAATATAAACATTTCTAGTGATTACCTGCTCGACATCGCAATTGACATGACCTAGTTTCACCTTTCCCTGCAAATTTTTTGCAGCCTTTTTCCACTCCGGGGCAAGCTTTTTGCAGTGTCCACACCTTTAAGTAGAAGGGAAAAAAAACAGAAGATATTTTACACCTTCAGATGAACCGAAGAAGTTCAAAGGCATGAACAGTTCATTTGGGCCAAATAAGGACAACTTACCAAGGTGCAAAAAACTCAACGATCCAAAGTTCATTGCTTTCGATGACCAACTCATCAAAATTTCCAGCGTTCAGTTCCACAGATGCACTAGGTTCAGATTTCTTTTCCTTAGATCCTCCTCCAGTTGGTTTACTTTTGCCTTCCAAACGGTCACTCAAAAGACCCTTGATCTGCCAAGCAAACAGATAGCAATAAGCTTATCTTAATGCAGGTACACAAGTTTGTTTGATGGAGAATGTTATATGTGCAGTGCAAATTAAGATGGCCACTTGTGGTTCTTCAATTCATATTTTACTAAACAATCTATATTTTATTGGTGGACAATCAGTACGATTCCACACAGGATGAGAAATATCTTGACAGTAAAAAAGAGTATAATGAAGAATCAAGTAGGAGAAGGTGACAAACCTGCTTGTAAGCAAAATTAGCAATGGATTTGGCATCTCGTTCTCCTTGGTAATCAATTGGAGCCTTTCCAGGAACAAAGACCTTAATAGTTGGGAAACCTTTGATACCATAATCCTGAACAAGAGAGTTCATTATCAGTATCAGAAACCTGAGCCAGAGCTTTATGCATTACAGTGAGTAAAAATTTTATTTCTTGTACGAATCACGAGTAACGGTTACATGGAAAAATAGAAGCTTTAGATGACATGACAAACCTGAGCGGCAGACTGGTGAGCATCTGCGTCAATTGCTGCCACAGTAGCAACTCCTTTGAGAATATTAGCCACTTTCTCCCATGTAGGTGTTAGAGCTTTGCAATGACCACACCATGGTGCAAAGAACTCTACCAAAACAACTCCATTTGAATTAAGAACCTGCAACAACAAACAAGTTAACAACAACACTAACACAGTTTCACATCAATTCTCATTTTCGGTTTACCCCAAACAATGAAATAGCAACTAAACCGGATCTCTACAGATAAACCAATAGAGATTCTCAGAAACAATCGTGTGAAGAAGGATTGATATACCAAAAGATGAAATCGATGCAGAGCCATACCTTGGACTTGAAGTTAGAAGCAGTGAGCTGAACCACAGGTGACGAAGATCCATAAAGAGCACTGCTGAGATCGAAGAATCCAAAGCAAAGAGTAAGAAGCGTGAGCAACGTTAATGGTGATTTATACATTTTCTTCTTCCCCTTTCTCTCTTCTTTTCACTTTCTTCTATAAAATTGTATCCTGCGATCCTGCGAAGCAGCGGATTTAAGAACACAAGCTCCGTGGAATTACGTAGTCTGACCAATTATATCCTGACACATCAGCATCAGATCTCGTTTCGTTTTCTTTGTTACCCTTTTCTAGGCAAAGTCTCTGTCCTAAAGAGAGGGATTCTATTTGTGTTGGGTTCCCAATTTCCATGTCTAAAGCCAAAAAAGTTACAGAGAGGGATGCTAATTTGTATTTTGCAAATCCAAAAATTACTTGGCTTTAACCTTTTCTAGTTGCTGCATCAAAGAAATAGAATATACACTCTGATAAAAAAAAATCATGGAACTTGATATGTTGAGAATCTGAAAATTGCTAAAGGATGTCAAGTTTTATTAACCCATTCAAAACACTGTTCTTTTCCTATTTTGTTTCAGCCATTGCTGTCTCCGAAACCAAAGAAAAAAAAACCAAAAAGATAGAACACTTCCAAGCCCTCTTTCCAAAAAATTAACAAAAAGGGCAGAGAGATCATTTTGAGACCGTTAGATACCCTGAGAGGGAAAGACTCAGCCAGATTGTCATTCATTCTGAGATCATGTAGATTTATCAGATGAATCCTGCACTTTTGAGCTGTCCTGTTGTATAGTATTATCGTCTTGTTTCTCATTCTCTGAACTTGGATTCTCAGAATCAGGTTTAACATTGGGTAGGGAGGTTGAATCAGAGCAGCTTGGTGGCAATGAGTCCTGCACTTCTGATTTTTCTGGCTGTGCAGGACTATCGTCTTGTTTCTCAGTCTCCAAGCTTTGAGTCTCTGCAGCACCGGGTTTACCATTGGATAGGGTACTCGAATCAGGGGGGCTTGGTGGCGATGAGATCCTCAGATTAGTTGAAACAGGTGGAGCATAAGGATTAGGAGTAGGCAGAGAAGACATGGCCAAGCCCGTAGTGTTGTAAGGGTTTAGTGGCATTGAGTGATCAAATTTGCAGCTTGCTCCAAACTTGCAGAATCCGTAGGCCTTGAAGTTACCACATGCTGGTTGTCCCTGAACACAGCAAAAGCATAGAAATTAGTGTCACCAAACCTCTGTTGACGTTAACAAAATCAACAGAACGAGTTGCGGATATGTCAAGTTGGCATAAAAAAAACAAAGTAGGACAAGAGACTTACTGGTCTTGCGGGAAGAACAATAGGGTTCAAGAGATTTGGTGGTGATTGTAACAACCTTTCTTTCGGATGACTGTATTTGCAATCATCTCCATATTTACATGTTCCAGTGTTCATAAAAAACCTACATTCAGCTCTTTCAGAAAAACTGTGATAATGTGATGTCATGGCCACAGGCACCGATGCACTAGAACTGGAGTCAGGTTGAGCTTTCACACTGTAAATGGGGTTAGATGCAGCCTGCACCACAGTAAAAAAAAGAAAAGAAGAGAGAGAATTTTCAGACTAAGACATTCTTTTGCAAAATGGGTATGTGGTAAAGGAAAGTGAATCTCTGTCTATTTGTCGTAACTTCACAGAGAGAGATAAAGGTTTCTACTTGAGCACTGAGCAAAGATATATAAGACTTACCATGTAAGTTGCCCAGCCTTGAGGAGGCAAAAGGCCTTGGGAAGGTGCAACCATGAAGGGCATATAGGCCTGAGACTGAGGAACTTGAGGACGTGCCATAGCTCCATATGTTGCAGGAGGCAAAGACACCATTGTCATTCCACTGGCATAAGGAAAACCAACAGACGGAAAGCTGGACAATGCATATGCAGAGTGGCCATTAGAAGGCTGAGGATGAGGATGATGGAATTTGCAGGCAACCCCGAATCGACACAATCCTGTCTGCATGTAATACGGGCATGACTTCTCACCCTGGAGAGAGAAAAAACATAAAAAGTTTTCTATCAAGTATGAAACTGTAATAATAAGCAGGCTATCTGCACGGTGTAATCTTACCTGTCGCATAGGAAAACCGAGAACATTGAACAGTACGGGTCCAGCACCATTCCTGTCCTTTGGGTGGTGATATTTACATGTTGGGCCATACTTACAGGCTCCTGTTTTCAGAAAATACTGCAAAGAAAATACATACAGAAGAGGAACGTGTTCGTTAAACATCTTCAGAGAAAAGGTAAAACAATACGGGTGCATCAACTATCCAGACTATTAACACTTTCCAAATAAGGAAAGACTCAAGACAAGATATGTTTTGCAGCATAAATGTGGATTAAGCATCACTCTTGCACCCAGACCAGAAAGGCTACTAAAAATTTTCAGACCAATGCAAGACCACAAAGTGAGATGATAAGTATAAAGTAAGCAGTGCACCTCACAGTCAGGCTGTCCAATCCTCTCAGGCAGTTGGTCTTTGTAATAAATAACACCCTACAAAATGTTACAAACTGTATAAGCTAGAGTAACAGAAAAAGGGCAAGAAGAAGAGTCAGCCGTATAAACTAAGTTTCTCACCTGTGGAAGATGAGTAAGAGGGTGATTGTACCGACAGGTGTTTCCATAGCCACACTGCCCAGTTCTCAGAAAGAACTGGCAATCTCGCTCACCGGGACGATCAGGATATGGACTAGATTGCTCCATATTATCTTCATTAACTTTCATCCTCCTAAAGGTATCTAAAAAATCATAACACAAAGAACACGAGACATGAAGATTATATATCTAAATCACAAGATAAAACGAAACTCAAATCATAGGAATCAACTTTCCAAAGGCAATAACACAATGTAGAACTTTAAATCCGACAAAGAGCAATCAGAATCTAACACTTTTACCAATTTTGATCAGAGAACAATTATCACACGATGAAAAAAACATGATCTATAACTTCCATAAATGTTGAGAATCATTCAGAAACAATGATCCGACAAGACGAATCCAACAAGCTAACTCCAAAAAAAGACAAATTCGTATTCACCTCTAAATTTTCGGACTTTTTAAGACTTGAATGATCAAAACTCTCATAAAAAGAAACGAAATCACATTAAGACTTGAATGATCAGAAACAAGAATTACATGATCATCAAACAATCAAACACATTACGGTTATAAAAAAAAAACGTTTCTTTGGATCTTCAATGAAAAAAAAAAAAGTAACTACCTTGAATTTTCTCGGGAGATCGAATCGACCCAGTAGAGTTCTGAACCTGCTGCTGAGTTTCTGACATGACTCGTTATGAAACAGACACAAGTCACAGAGACAAAATCAAAACTCTTGTTCGTCTCTTATCTTCTGAGAACAGAAATCGTTTTAGAGTTGTGTGTAAGTAGAGACGATGATCACAATGATCAAACAAACGAAAAGGAAATAAATAAAAAAGGAAATTAAGATTTTTCCTTTTCTCCGATGAAAGATTAACGAAGAACAAATGTGAAAAAAACTAAAAAGAAACGATCTTGTTAAATTTAACTTTTTTTTTTTTTCTCCCAAAGATAGATGATTTATCGTTTGAACAAATCCAATAGAAAAAAAAATCTCTGCCCAAATATTCCAATAGGAATGAAATTTTACCTTATTCTCTGCTTGGCGATTTCCTTTCTTTTTCCCCAGAATCTGAGATTTTCGTGGGAAAATTTTCGGATCTTCCTTTTTGGTTTTTTGCCTTTTTTTTTTTTTCTCTCCAAATGTAATGAGGAGTTTCTTCAATGTGAAAACAAGAAAAAAATAAAATTGGATTTAAATAATAATAAATTAAAAAATAACAGTGCTGAGTAATGAGTCTTTGCCCCCTCGTGTACGGATTAATAAATTCTGCCGGTCCATCTGAAATGACGATATTACCCCTATATGTTCCTTCGACTCGTTTGCGCGTGATTTAATTTTCAATGTGGTGGTTCGATCTCAGCCGTCGGATACGAACCTTGTGGGACCCGCTCTATTCTTCTTCTTCTTCTTCTTCTTCTTTTGGTTACCTTCTTTAATAAAAAATTTCAATTAATTATCTTCTCTATAAGATTTTAAGTTAATTATGCTGCCTAAAAAAAGTTATAACATAATATTTTAGTTAATCTTAACATAGATTTGATACTGAACTTTCCAATTATAATATTTGGTTTTTTCATAATAATAACTCAACATAGATTTCTAAAACAATTCCTTTGTAGGACAATAATTATGCATTAAATTCAATAAAATATGGTTAAAAATTGATTTCTTTTAGTAAATAAATTATATAATCTTTTATCTCTAATCTCTTCACCATATTCTAATCTTATTTATTAAATAAATTTAATACTACTGTAGATTTATTTCTTTGCCATAGAATAAATGGTTAACATTTAATATGCAATCACACCTAATTTGAAAGCAGTTTATTCGCGAATCTAACTAAATGACGGTGCGTGGGTCCTTTTCTTAATTATTATATCTTCTCACTAATACTCTGCAGATTTCCAACTATATTATGCTGAATGAATAAATGTATTTATTGACTCCTGAGCTCTAGCAAACAAATTAATGTATCATTCAAAGATACTTAATGTTGAACCAAATTGTAGCTAATCCTGTAAATTACAAAAGTTTCTTCTAGTCATTTAATAAATACTTACTGTATAACTTTTTTATGAAAATATTTATGTCATTATTAGCTTATTGATATATGAGCTCAAACTTTTTTTACCAAGGGTGTGATTGGTGACATGAGTTACTATGTGGTATCATTGAATTAGGAAGATAACTCAAAAATGTTACCAATCATGATTTGTTTTTAAAAATTTGCATTAGTGGTTGAAGTTTGTTGAGTTATGAATGACTTACATTTTTGAGTTATCTCCTTTGTAAAATTGCTAAATCAAAACTTAACTCAAAAACATGGAAATTCTCATGAGTTAGAATGTGGTAAGTTGAGTTGTAATTTTTGCATTTAAAAAAAAAACGAAAATTAGTTTTAAATTAGAAGAAAATATCTTAAATTAATTTTAATAATGATAATTGTTTTTATTTTTATCTTAATTTAATTCAATAACATTTCATAAAAAAATAGGTATTTAAATTCTTAATTTTCTTAACATCTTTAAAATTTTTAATTTGTTTTTTATTTTCATTTAATTATCAAAACTATTTATAGGACTAGATTTAATACAGATAAAATTTTAAATATGCTAGGAAAATGTAAGTCATTAGTTTTATAACTATTATGTAAAAAAAATATTTCAAATTAACTATGTTTTTAGTATTATTTTATTTTATTATTTAATTTGTAAAAAATATTATTATTATTATTATTGATATTTAATTAATTAGTTTTAATAACATATATTGCAACTTTTAAAACACAAAAGTTACCAGTCACTTGTATTGATCAGACTGATAACTCATATTTTTACAGCAAAAACTACATCAGTCTACAGTTTATACCACATAATTTTTACTGCAGATTACATCAAATTATAACATCGACTGCAATTCAACCTTAATAACACGTGTTATCAGTCGGAGCCCAAAATGTTATTCTGAGAACAAACAATGAGAGTATGACATCATTAAATGTTAAACATGTATTTGATTAGAGATGATGAAATTATCTAAGACAAGTTTGTAGTCTATTACATCATTATTATATTTTATTCTACTACAAATGAATCTAATGTGCCATAACGAATCTAATTTTATTTAGCCTTTTAATTATACACGATTTTTTTACAATTGACTCCACAACCTATGTAGAAAAATCTATATACAGTAGAAAGTAGAAACTATACTATTTGTATGACTCATTATAAATTCAGAAATTAGGGGAAATATTTATTAAGAAAATGAGAGAGAAAAATAAATTGATGGGTGTTTTCGTCATTTAGTGTGGAGTAAAGGATAGAAAGGAAAGCGTGGGCTACACGGTACTTTATTTAACGTGAAAAGTAAAAAATACTGATTTATAAAGATTAAGGGAATATTTTAATAAATAGTGCCTCATACTAAAATGCTCTTTGTACGCTAATCTGCGGTTTGGACCAGTTTAATTCTGCTGTAGGGCCCACGCTGAATCCTTCCTTAATTTGTAGTAGCTGCTTTAATGACCAATACTGTTGTGTTCTCAGTACGATTGATTAAGAATGCACACTAATTGCAAAACTCAGGCCACCAGTTGTTTTTATGTTTGTGCTTCTAGTTTGTTTTTTTTACGTCAATTTCGTTTAGTTTTTCTAATACTATCATATTATAAGTTCATGTTTATATTAGAAAACATTATGAAATTTCAAATATAAAATATTATAGGGAATTTTGCCAAATGTACCACATTTTGGGAAAATCCTAGCAAATGTACCACATTTGAAATGGATTTAGCATTCATACCACATTTGGTGTTTGTGTGGCAACTCTTGGACGATTTTGCCCTTCTCTGTGCGTCAGGTATGTGTCAGGGGAAAGAGCTATAGTAGACGCCGGTTGGGAAACGGGGACAACTTTGTGTCAGAGAAGGACAACTTTGTCTGAAAGACAACTTTGTGTCAGAGAAGAAGGACAAAACATTGCATTAAATGCAGTTTACATTTACCATGGACAATAATTATGAAATAGAGTGAATGATGTCCCCCAAGAATAAGTCCAGATCTCTTGATTGTCCATCACCAGATGATGTGGTTTTACCAGCCAGAGATCTGGATTTACTCGGGGACAACTTCTCTTGATTGTCCATCGCCAGATGATGTGGTTTTACCAGCCAGAGATCTGAATTTACATGGAGACAACTTGATCTTTATTTTATTCCGCCAAAGAGCCGAAGAAGAAGATCTGGATTTACTCGGGGACAACTTTGTTTTACCAGAGGGACGAAAATGGTTACTAATGCATTAGGAGAGAGACTGTGGACGGCAGAAAATTCGGAGACTACGAAGATCTGGATTTATTCGGGGACAACTTTGTTTTACCAACCAGAGGGACGAAAACGGTTACCAATGCGCCAGGAGAGAGAAAAAGGACGGCAGACTGTAGCTCCTTCCCCTGACACATTCCTGACGCAGCCAGAAGGGTAGTTTCGTCTTTCCAGATGACGAATGTGGTATGGATGCTAAGTGGACTCAGAAAGTGGAATTGGGCCTAAACTTTTAAAAAAAAGTGGTACTGAAGCTAATTTTCCCAATATTATATTGTAAGTTAAATTCTTTTAGTGAACGGAACTTAACTCAAATAATCATGAACTAGAATATATATATCTAAATCATGAGTTCAATGAGTTCGCTTCCAAACTAATACAAATAAATTAGGTTTAAAAGTTAAATTTTTAAAACAAATCGGATGTGAATGATAAATCAACTCCACTGTCTAACAAGCAAATACATAAATTAAAAGATCATGCAATGATCATCTAAATAGTTGTTAAATCGGTTATATACTCTGCAAAACGTTCTTTTAACTGAATCTCTTAGAATTACGACCAATTTGTTGTTGTTTTGGGGCAAATTTCGATTTTAAGGTGACGCACAATATATAAAAAACAATTGAGTAAAAAAAGAATACTCCGAAATACTCCATCCGTTTCATTTTAGTTGTCGTTTTAAGACTTAAATTTTGTTCGTAATAGTTGTCGTTTTAGGTTTTCAATGCAAATGTTTGGTAAAAATTCCAGTATTATCCCTATTGTTTTAATGTTTTGACCAATGAAAAAATTTATAAAATATATTAATAAACGGTAAAACAGAAAATTTAATGTTTTTCTTAATTTGTGTGAGAAAATCTTAAACGATAACTAAAACGAAACGGAGGGAGTAATAAAAACATTTAATGCAGTTTGGCAGAAGACAAGACAAAACATTTAATAAAAACCTTTTTGCTGCATTGTATCATCATTTTTTTATTGCACAAGACAAGTGTAGACCGTAGACTGTTATCACTAGGATTATTGTCTTAAAAACAATCTAATTATATAACTGAACTCACAAGTTAAGATTCTTTTCCATTTTTTCACTTAGGAGCTTAAACATGCTTGTAATCTTTTTTTTGTCCTTCGTCAAATTATACTTCTCTTGCTTCAAAATATAAGATGTTTTAAAAGTTTTTTTATATATATATTGTAAGATATTTGCTAATTTGTATTCAAATTGCAATAACTATCTCAATTTTGTTTAGTTGTATATGAAATGGGAGTAAGAGAGTTGTATTAATTTAATATTTGATTCTGAAGTACGACAAATTATAATAAAAAAGAAATAGAATCCAGTTTAGTCAAACCGGCTTTAGATATATTCGAGGGGCAAAAACGCAGACACGATTCGTAAACAGTTTCAAAAAAAAAGGAAATGAAAAATAAACAACAACAGGCTTTGGGACCAAGGCAAAGCTTCTTGACTCGTCGTAAACTAGAAGAAAACTAGTTGAGAGGGGCAAAATGGTCAAAACGAGTTTGATTCATGCACAAGAAATCTCCTGCATCGCAGCCAGGTAGGACCCACGTGTGGAAAAATTGGGGTAGAAGTAATGATCTGGTGGTCTTGGGAGCAGTGTAAGAGCAATGATACTACTGAATACTGACCCGTCAATATTATGCCACGTAAACAGTTCTGAAAGGTGGTGGTGATTGTCTGTGGTAACGTCCACTTCGTTACAAAGTTTTCTAGTAGTGCACGTGGGTTTTGACGCGGTTTGTTAGACCGGTTTGACCGTTTGAAAGACTTTTACGTCAAGAGTTTTCTCACTTTTTCATTTCCCTTTTTCTTCGTCACAATTCACAAAAAAAACAAGA